TGTGCGTGCCTGTCTGTTGTTTTGTTTGCCTGTGTGTTGTTGTGCCGGCCTGTCTGTTGCTTACCTGCTAGTATACTTGCTGCTTGCTTCCTGTCTATCTGTTGATTACGTGCCTGTCTGTCTACTCCTTGCCTGTTTGTTCCTTACCAAATGTCTGTATGTTGCTCTGTCTGCCTGTCTATTGCTCACCTGCCTCCCTGTCTGCTGCTCACCTGCCAATCGTTGGTCCTGTCAGTCTGTCCCCCCTATTTCTGCCTGTCAGTCATTGAGTCTTCCTACGCAAACATCACTGGCTGTCTAGACAGCTATTTGTGTTTGCGTCGCTCACTCTGGGACGAGAAGAACACAATGTAGGCTTCCGCCCAGGGAATATTCCAAGGTATTCCGACTGCAGCCTTAACGCTCAGTGAATTGGAACACGGGGGGAGGGGAAAGGGGGATGGGAAAGATAGGGGGGAGGTGTTCCTGGAACGTGATGATTCCTGAGATACGATGAATTCTGGACGGTTTTGTTGCCTGGAATGCGGTGCCTGGCATGCTATCTGAAGAACCTAATCCCTGGAATATGATTCCTTTAATGTGACTCTCGGAATGATTCCTGGTATTGGGGGATGCACACACTCACACTCGAGTGTGAGATGGAGGTGTTGCACTCACACTTGACGCTGAGTGTGAGGGGTTGTGAGGATGTTGATCCACGGACGTTGGTGGCCCTGCAGGTGAAGAGGCCCGCGTAGCGTCGTCCGACGCTCCGTAGAACCAGGCTCTCGTTACTGATGACAACGCCGGTGCTGATGTTACTATGGAGCTCCTCACCCTGTGTGGTGGTAAGATACAGCACATAAGAGGTTAGCTAGGTAATGAGGATTCAAGCCACAGTTGGCCTAGTAGACTAAGGCATCGAGATATTTACCTAGCGTCCCGGGAGGCTGGATAATTATCTCGGGTTCGATCCCGGCTAGTCGCTAAAGGGACTTCATATCCACTCCACACACACACACACACACACACACACACACAACACACACACATTCACCTCACTGTTTACGTTTCCTGTCTGTTGCCCTGTCATTTTTCTTGCCAGTTTTTATATATATCGTTTTCCTATATATTTATGCATTATTTCCTTTTATAAATCGTTCACCTTTCAGGTAAACGTTTTCACGTGTATTATACATCGTTTTCCTATACATTTACGTATCGTTTTGTTGTCAAACTCACCCATGTAATTACTGGGCAGACAGCTGTTACAATCAACTTTACTTAGATTTATGAACTTAACCAGAGCTAGTTATATAATATAAACTTACAAGGTTAATGATTGCTTGATGGAGTTTATAGTCTATCGACTTCACAATGTTAAGTAAGACAAGATTCGTCAGGAAACAGGACAAGTGTTTCCTGACGCGGGTCTTAGTCATATGATGACCCGCCGCTGGAGGTTTTGCTCATCTGGCCGAGGCCTACCATTGGCTTACCGGTCCACACCTTTAAAAACTAAGGTTACAATAACCATTTACTGCACGAGCGTCATTAATGGGCTGCGCGTAACCTTTACACCGCCAAACAATCCTACTTTAATCCCTGAAGTAGGGAACATACACGCTGAGATTAATATTATTATCCTCATAGGGATTATACTGCGTCTGTGGGAGGGGGAGATGGAAGGTATACAGGCTCAATTCAGGGAACTGGAGCACAGGTCCAATTCCCTAGAACAAGAGCCCCTCACCAGCGTCAAGGAACCTCCCTTGAGGGGTATACACACCGAGAGAGACGCACCTCTCCATGAATATGTGCAAAGAATCCTAAATAAATATTTAAATATGCGTATGAATGTGTTTCTAGTCTGTATATGAATCTATTTCTATGTATTTGTGTAGTTTTGTTGTATGTTTAAACATTTCACAGGATATGTACACCGATAGGTGTATTTCTCTCAGCGTATGAATGCTCAAAGCTTATTTTAACCCATATACTTTAATCCATATATTTTAATCCATATATTTTAATCTATATATTCTACTGGTGAAAATGTTACATGTTCCCTTAATAACCATTGTGAAGTCGATAGGTTTTAAACCCTATTGTGATCTATTTTGTTATTACTGTATATACATATCTTTAATTTGTCTTGTCTATCTACAAGTTCACTAAAGAATTAAGGAGCAAATTTTACCAACTCTCCTAAAAATATGCTGAAAATAATGGGTAATTGATAATAAAGTTAATTATTATTACATATTATTAGTGTGGTAATACTTTATTGGTAGTTCTGTGGGTATTTGTAACCAGTTCTTGATTATCAAGGCTGGTTACTCCCTCCATCCCTTAATTCCTTCCTCCCTCCACCCATCCCAGAAACCTACCTTGAAGAACCAGCTGAGGGAGTGTGCTGGAGGGTTGGCATGGACCACACACTGGAGGTGGACCTCGTCTCCCTCCTTGACGGCTGCAAGTACCTGACTGTTCCCTGCCTTGAGCTCCACCCGCGGTACAACTGTTAAGCAGTCAGTCAGCCAGCCATCCAGCCAGCCATCCAGTCAGCCAGCCAGGCAGCCGTCCCGCGAGCCAGCCAGGCAACCAAGGCAAGAGAGGAAGAAACAGAGGAAAAGTAAACAGATTAATCAAATGAATAAATAGAAGAGTTGAGCATTGGAGCGATGGGGTGAAATTGCATATACTCTCACACGAACATGCACACGCACGCGCATACGCACATAAGCACACACACAAGCTAAATGTTAAGTACACAGTGCCAGAATGGAGCCTTCATTTGATCAAACACATCCAGAAGCTGTGTAAAACAAGCCACAGATGTACACCCCGACTAGTTCCGTAGATGAGGGGAACGCACCATGAGGAAAATCTAAAGGAGCGCAAAGTAACATCTTTAGGAAACCAGAGAGTCTGAGGAGACATGATCAGAGCATACAGGATGTTCAGAGTCTTATGGGACAAAGAGGTACAAACAGAAGCTTTGAATCAAGAGCCATTTACCAGCATCAGGTCACCCACTGCTAGATAATATATTGTATAATTAATCGCTAAATTGTAATAAAATGCATCAGACTTACAAACTCGGTACAGTAATATACTCGCAGAATCATTTTAGTCCACAAACTGAAGGTAACTTAGAGTTGAAGCGGATAAAATAATGTGTTAAAAACTGAAGTGAATGAAATATTGCGTTAGAAGTTTAACAATGTTGTTAAAATATTAACACAGTGTGATAACTGAAACAAAGCTGAAAATGTTTCTCTCTCTCTCTCCTCTCTCTCTCTCTCTCTCTCTCTCTCTCGCTATGCCTTCGTAGCTTCCTCTCACTTGGCCTTCTGTTTCTCCTTATTTTACCTCAATCCCTCGTTACTCTTCTTCTCTTCCTCAAACTTCCTTCCCCTTGCTTATCTCTCCTTTCTCTTCCTCATCCCATCCCCTCTCTCATCACTTCATTTCTCATACGTGTACGTCTTCTTAGGTATACAGTATACTGTATCATACATCTCCCTCCTACCCTCTCTGTCCTCTCTCCTCCACTCACTTGATGTTGCCCCTCTCTGTGAGGATGGAGTTATCTTCGTAAAAATACTATGACTCCTGTGTTTGAGATTGGCCATCTTGAGATATGACATTTCCCGAGTAATAGCAACTCCATTTCTGCTGGAAGGGAGCCTTTGAAGCTACCGTAGCAGCTGAATGGAATACTTGACGACATTCTTGTTGCCCTACTGAAGTCTCCCAGCTTAGACTGGCAGATTGCAACACTCTGTTATGTAGGTCGCCCTTAGCGGTGGAACATGACGGAATAAAATTAGTTAAATTTTGTATTTTGCGAAATGACAAAATTTCATCATTTTTCTTTTCACTTTTATATCTCACTCTCCTCTCCCTCATCCCTTCTTGCTTGGTCCTTATTCCTTCCTCTTCCTGACTCATCCATCCCCTTTCTCACCCCATTCTTCCACACTTTAAATCTTTCCTTCCCCTCTCTCAAACCCCTTACAGAGGCAAGACAAAGAATAGCGGATAAACGATGTAACGGAGGGAACTTTAGATAATAAGAGCTGATAAATTATTGTTCCTCAGTGTCTCAAGTCATGAGATGCAATCCTAATCTGACAACACTTTGATGGGAACTCGACTGTAAAGGATTTTGAAGCAGCCTGACCTAGCGTAAAGAACAATATACTCAGTATTATATATATATATATATATATATATATATATATATATATATATATATATATTATATATATATATATATATATATATATATATATATATATATATATAGATATTGTGTATTTTTTATACGTATATACTTCTAAACTGTTGTATTCTGGGCACCTGTGCAAAAGCAGTGATTCATGTGTGAGCGAGTGAAAGTGTTGAATGATAATGAAAGTATTTTGTTTTGGGGGATTTTCTTTCTTTTTTGGGTCACCCTGCCTCGGTGGGAGACGACCGACTTGTTGAAATATATATATAATATATATATATATATATATTATTTTTTTATAATATATATATACTAATATATATTATATATATATTATTATATATATATATATATATATATATATATATATATATATATTATACATATTGTTCTTTTCCGGAAGAGAAGCTATAAAAGAATTGATGGTGAATATGTTTTTTCTTTGCTCTTCTTTTGTGTTTCTCTGCTACTACTTTTAACAACTTTTAAGTTTCCTTATACTTCACCATCGCCATTAAGTTTTTACGTTAGTTTACACATGTTGTAAAATCCATTCACTTATTTTGTCTCACTTGTCATCTATATTTATCACCTCATCATTCCACCACTCAATTCTCTTCTCTTATACACCCTGCTTCTTAAAAATAAAATCCTCTTCTGAAAATTCCAACAGAGAATTTTTAAATCTGCATCACAGACTGAGCTGGCCAAACTAGACAGATTATTGAATTTTAATAGCTTTTGCATTTTGTGTCTTCTCTTAAGATTCTTATCATCATACCTCTCACTGTTGTTAACCTCTCCTTCAACAGTTGCCATACCTCTCACTGTTGTTAACCTCTCCTCCAACAGTTGCTATACCTCTCACTGTTGTTAACCTCTCCTTCAACAGTTGCCATACCTCTCACTGTTGTTAACCTCTCCTCCAACAGTTGTCATAACTCTCACTGTTGTAAACCTCTCCTCCAACAGTTGCCATACCTCTCACTGTTGTAAACCTCTCCTTCAACAGTTGCCATACCTCTCACTGTTGTAAACCTCTCCTTCAACAGTTGCCATACCTCTCACTGTTGTAAACCTCTCCTTCAACAGTTGCCATACCTCTCACTGTTGTTAACCTCTCCTCCAACAGTTGCTATACCTCTCACTGTTGTTAACCTTTCCTCCAACAGTTGCCATACCTCTCACTGTTGTAAACCTCTCCTCCAACAGTTACCATACCTCTCACTGTTGTTAACCTCTCTTCCAACAGTTCCATACTCTCACTGTTGTTAAACCTCTCCTCCAACAGTTGCATACTCTCACTGTTGTAAACCTCTCCTCCAACAGTTGCCATACCTCTCACTGTTGTAAACCTCTCCTCCAACAGTTGCCATACTCTCACTGTTGTAAACCTCTCTCCAACAGTTACCATACCTTCACTGTTGTTAACCTCTCCTCCAACAGTTGTCATACCTCTCACTGTTGTTAACCTCTCCTCCAACAGTTGTCATAACTCTCACTGTTGTAAACCTCTCCTCCAACAGTTGTCATACCTCTCACTGTTGTTAACCTCTCCTCCAACAGTTGTCATACCTCTCACTGTTGTAAACCTCTCCTCCAACAGTTGCCATACCTCTCACTGTTGTAAACCTCTCTCCAACAGTTGCCATACCTCTCACTGTTGTAAACCTCTCCTCAACAGTTGCCATACCTCTCACTGTTGTAAACCTCTCCTCCAACAGTTGCCATACCTTCACTGTTGTAACCTCTCCTCCAACAGTTGCCATACCTCTCACTGTTGTAACCTCTCCTCCAACAGTTGCATACCTCTCACTGTTGTAAACCTCTCCTTCCAACAGTTGCCATACCTCTCACTGTTGTAAACCTCTCCTCCAACAGTTGCCATACCTCTCACTGTTGTAAACCTCTCCTCCAACAGTTGCCATACCTCTCACTGTTGTAAACCTCTCCTCCAACAGTTGCCATACCTCTCACTGTTGTAAACCTCTCCTCCAACAGTTGTCATACCTCTCACTGTTGTTAACCTCTCTTTCAACAGTTGCCATACCTCTCACTGTTGTAAACCTCTCTCCAACAGGTTGCATACCTCTCACTGTTGTTAACCTCTCCTCCAACAGTTGTCATACCTCTCACTGTTGTTAACCTCTCTTCCAACAGTTGCCATACCTCTCACTGTTGTAAACCTCTCCTCCAACAGTTGCCATACCTCTCACTGTTGTTAACATTTCCTCCAACAGTTGTCATACCTCTCACTGTTGTTAACCTCTCTTCCAACAGTTGCCATACCTCTCACTGTTGTAAACCTCTCCTCCAACAGTTGTCATACCTCTCACTGTTGTTAACCTCTCTTCCAACAGTTGCCATACCTCTCACTGTTGTTAACCTCTCTTCCAACAGTTGCCATACCTCTCACTGTTGTTAACCTCTCTTCCAACAGTTGCCATACCTCTCACTGTTGTTAACCTTCCCTCCAACAGTTGCTATACCTCTCACTGTTGTTAACCTTCCCTCCAACAGTTGCCATACCTCTCACTGTTGTAAACCTCTCCTCCAACAGTTGTCATACCTCTCACTGTTGTTAACCTCTCTTCCAACAGTTGCCATACCTCTCACTGTTGTTAACCTTTCCTCCAACAGTTGTCATACCTCTCACTGTTGTTAACCTTCCCTCCAACAGTTGCTATACCTCTCACTGTTGTTAACCTTTCCTCCAACAGTTGCCATACCTCTCACTGTTGTTAACCTCTCCTCCAACAGTTGCAATACCTCTCACTGTTGTTAACCTTTCCTCCAACAGTTGCCATACCTCTCACTGTTGTTAACCTTCTCCAACAGGTTGTCATACCTCTCACTGTTGTTAACCTTTCCTCCAACAGTTGACCATACCTCTCACTGTTGTTAACCTTTCCTCCAACAGTTGTCATACCTCTCACTGTTATTAACCTTTCCTCCAACAGTTGCTATACCTCTCACTGTTGTTAACCTTTCCTCCAACAGTTGCTATACCTCTCACTGTTGTTAACCTTTCCTCCAACAGTTGCCATACCTCTCACTGTTGTTAACCTTTCCTCCAACAGTTGCTATACCTCTCACTGTTGTTAACCTTTCCTCCATTCAGTATGCCATACCTCTCACTGTTGTTAACCTTTCCTCCAACAGTTGTCATACCTCTCACTGTTGTTAACCTTCCTCCAACAGTTGCTATACCTTCACTGTGTTAACCTTTCCTCAACAGTTGCCATACCTCTCATGTTGTTAACCTACCTCCAACAGCTGCC